ATTTTCCCCAGCAGCCTTGGGCAGGGAGTTGCAGCTTCCACTTCAAAGGACAAACTTCAAAAACAAATCCAGTGTCCTAATGGTTTTGTGCTACATTACTTAATTGTCATACAGCTAATTAGCAATGCCTGATTTCACATTCTCTGTACATAGATGAAGTTCACAAAAGAAGGGGCTACTTAAAACAATAAATAAAACAAGGCACCAGGCAGCCAGACTCCGACAACATTAACATAAAACGTTACACTTTACCATTTTAAAAAACTGAAATAAAAACCCCATCATGATTAAACCTATATTGATCTCTCTTCCTTCAGATCTCAGAGCTTTGAATCTCTGCAAGGAAAGGGGGAGAACACAACGCAGGAAGCAGGGGCTTAGCGTGCACGCCTGTGTATGTATTTCGCCAGTGTGCAGAAGAGATCTTTAAAATTCTAATTATTTCCCAATCACCAAGTAAGATTGGGATCAATAGACGGTACAAACTGACCCCTTTCCTTGAGTGTCAGGGGGAAATTAAAAAAAAAGAAAGGGGAGGGCAAAACGAGAGCGTCAGAGGTCAATGCCACAAAACAATAGATATTGATGTATCCATTCATTTCAAACAGCGGAAAGGTCAATGCCTCCCTTGCTTCATGTTTTATGGCTGAAATCCTGCTGCTAACAGCAACAATGTTAGTAGTCAGACCCCATCCATCCTTTTTTATTATTATGATTATTTCTAACCAGGTTAGCCATTTTGAAAATTTGACGAAAGCTGGGAAGCAGCAGTGGGGGGCAGGGCAGGAGAAGAGGGGAAGCTGCCCTGGAAATTAATGGAAAGGATGGTTTCCATTAGTTTTCGAGCCTGCCTGTCCCTCCACCTGTGCTCCGGTTTGTCCCTTGCTGCCCCCTAAAAAATGAAAAGGGCCTGAGGCAACATCCCTTCACTATTAATCATTATTCCCCGTACAACATCCCAATTGGTTTCTATGGAAATGATTCTCCTGCTAGAGTACCCCGGCCGCCTGTGCATCTAATCAGAGAGGCAGGAGAGCTGCAATGGACGGAGGTTTGCCTCTGCAACACCCGGCACAGCTCCCGTGGCTGGCTGCACAGGTCTCCCTGCAGACAGGGGCGAGGAGCTCTGGCTGGACACTCTCCGCTGGGACCAGCCAACGGGGGACTGCATCTCCCTTAAGCAGACAAAACAACCCGCCTGCACCGATTAACTCCACAAACGGAGAAGCCCCACAGTTCTGTGGCCATGGGGGGTGATACCCCATCCTAAAAAAGGGCTGCTGGGACAAAGCACCCAGCACCTTGCAACGTACAGTCCCGTTCCTGTGCATCACCCCAGGACTTTCCTGCAGTGAAGATCAGCAAGGTGAAGGGACAGATCCTGCTCTGTTCCCCTGGGAGCCTCACATGCCTCAGCAGAGGAGGAGGTACTCATGCGAATTAAAGCGAGCAGGGTCACTGCTCTGCTACCCTCAGCCTGCATTAGCAGCTCCAGCCCTGTCCTTTCTTCCCAAGGGAGCGCCACCTTGCCTGGGGGGGAGAGCATTTTGCACCCCTGCCAAGCTCCCTTGCGCAGGGCAGGTGAGCCCTCCTCGCCTTTCACAAGTGGGGAAACTGAGGCCAAATCTCACGGTGCGTGTCTGACTTCCAGTTCAAGGTCCACATCGCACTCCTGCCCTGCCTCCTTTCACTCCCATCTCTCCTCCTGTCGAACCACCTCTCCAACAGATGAGCAACCACAATCCAAGCTCTCCTGAAGGGAGAGGCTGTTGCCACACAGCCCCCTTTCCAAACTGAGCAGCGGATACACTGTCATTTTCTAAAGAGACCATGAAATCAGCTTTGCAAAATGGCTGAGGAAGCAATCCTTTAACCTACAGTCCTAAGAAACTTACCATAACACTGATGACTTAGTCCCACCAAATTCCCCACACCAAAACCACTGTCACTTTGCTAAACAAGACTTTGGACGTTAGCAGAGCAGCAAACAACTAATGATTTTACGTACTAGTGGCACTTGTCCCAGAATATCCTTCTCCCAAAGCAGCACGGACACCTTGGTGGTGGTCAAAGCAAAGATTTCTTCTGCGGTCCCCAAAGATCGGAGGTCTGATTTGAAGCGCGGCAAGAAACAGGCCAGCAGGGACTGGGAATCCTGCAGAGGCAGCCCCTGCGAGAAGGGCACCTTCTGTAATTGAATTCATTTATTTTAGACTACGGACAGTGGCATCAGCAGGCTCAGAGATCACCTCATTAGATGCTCACAGATAGCAGGAGGGAGATTTCTGGAGAAATGGGGACAGACACCAGAGAAAAGGAGGGGGAATCTCATATTAAATAAAAGCTAGGAACAGAACACCCATCTCTCTGTTCTCCTCTCCTCCTCTAATGCTGCACGCCGGAGTCTCAGCGCTGAGTGGGCTCCGAGTCCCATATATTGCTCTGCTCAGAACATATGGTGCTATGTTTAATAGCCCAGCTCTGCCAATTGGGGACTATTAGGGTGGGTTCTTTTCCCAGTGTAAATGTTGCAGAATATAAATTGTAATTAACACCGATGCCAAAATAGCACTTAGAGAAAATAAGCACATTATTAACATCTGGTGAATCCTGCCTGGAGTGCAGCAGCAGTGGAAATTCTCACTCACCATAAGAGGATTTTTAGTAGAGATACCGAGCATTGGCCCAGAGTTGGGGTGTTGGGGGTGGAAGGCGTTTTTAGGTTTTTATTGCTATTTGTGGTGCTATCTTTATTACCTGTGGGTGACCTTTCCTAGCCCTGATTATAACTGGCAGTGTTCGCATCAGGACTTCTGATCCGCTTGCGTGAATACAGATGTCTAAACATCATACTCCAGGCAACGGAATAATGGTGTTATAAAACATGCCTGATTGCCTGCCCCGATCTAGCAAGACACGAGGCAGATGGGTATCGCTTTGCCAAGCAAAAGGTCCAAGTACAGCATGTTTCGTCAGGTTATTCTAACCCCCAAGAGCAAAGGGTTAATACCACCATTAAGCTACAGGTGGTTTCTGCGTACCACTGTCCTGTAGCCCAGGTTTTTCAGTGGGACAGGTATAGGCGAGCCAGTGGTTCTGCCAAATTCTTGCCAGTGCCACAGCGTGTATGTGGAGGGGAAATCCCTGCTAAGGGTGGGAACGGCTTTGCTCCTACAGCATGCAGCAATCATCAGCATCTCTCCGTCAGCATCTCTCCACGAGACAGAACATTAAGCATCAGAGCTGGCTCTATGCCCTCAGTCTTCCCCCAACCCTGCCCTGAGGCTAGAGGCACGAGGAGGAGAAAGCAGCTTTGCTAAGGCTTCAAACAGCTCCCTGCCTAACCCTCACTATTTATTCTAGGAAAGAAACGCCGACAAAAACTAAGCAGAGGTGAAGTGGATTGAATTGGACAGGGCAGTGCCAAAAATTACATCTGATTTGCTGAACTGAAAGAGGAAGAGAGAAGAAAGATGTTGGAGAGGGAGAGAGGGACTCAAACAGGCAAGCAATATGACAAGAGGTAGAAAGAACAACCTCGCCGGGACAGCAGGAGAGAAAACAGTGGCAGGATGCCAAGAACAGGGCATCGGCTCCTCGCACTCACCCGCACGGTGTCTAACCCAGGGCAGAGTCTCAAATACTTCAGGAGCGCTCGCGCCTCAGCTGCAGCCATTCCCGGAGGAGCATGAGCCGGCCTCACCACCTTGTTACTGGCTGCAACCAGAGACCGCTGCTGGCACCTTGTCCTGAGCGGGGAAGGGAGAGAAGCTCAGGGCAGATAGCAAAAGCATGCAGTGGTTAGTTTTAGCAATGCACAGACTTGTGCTAGTAGAAGTCTAACATTAACCTGCTAGTTAACACCATAATCTATCTGAGCATAAGGGTTACCCCAGTCCGACTCAAGATTTACACCAGCAAGACAGATTTCCAGACAGGTTCACACCTGATTGATGGGAAAGTAAGGAGGGGAAGTCCTCCAAAGCTGTGAGATGCATTTTGTTCTCACATCCATCCCATCAGACCAGGCTTCCTATGAACCACTGATCACGGAAGAGCATTTGGAAGATGGCATCGTGTGTAGAAAATGCTGACAAGGAGATGGGACATCATCTTTGGACAACACTGGGCCTCCCCAGAAAAGCACTGCTCAACGCATTAGGGAGTGTTTAGGTGAAGTCAGACAGCTCTGGTTGATAGCTGTCTTGCAGAAGACAGACCCGGTGTGCTACCACAAAATACTCCAGCAGAAGGGAAATCCGACTGCCACCCAGAAACGTAGCTCCAGGAATTCATAACTCTGCTTTTGGTACAGCTGTCTGATGCTTTCAAAAGTGCTCAGTAAATAAGGCAGTATGAAAGTGATCCAGACCACTACTGATGCCTGAGGAAGTTCTGTGGAGCAGAGAAGCTGACTGAAATCACACTGTGAAAATACTTCATAACATCTCTAAAATTAGCATAAGCTCAAGGCATGGGATCTAAGGACAGAACTGGAACACTACATTCCCATCTACACTGCAAGACAGAATGCATTTAAATCAGATCTGAGCCTCAACTTATTCAGTGTAGGCACCATCTACCCTAGGACAAGGTTTTCCAAAAGAGCTGAGAACTTCTTCCACCAGACCGATGGAAACAGCATCGGCAAGAACATACCGTGGTTGAGGTGCTAATGACCTTAATTTGTTATTCAAAAATAATTTAAAAAAAAAAAAGAGTCCTTGTGGTACTTCTCAATCAAAAAACAAACCTTTAAGTAGCTGTGATTGCATGTGTGTGACTACAAATGTGTATTTGTAACATAGAAAAGACGTGATGCACTTCAACAGAGCAACACATTTTTGTGCCTGTTAGCTGGCTTAGGCTTTCTACTTTGTCAAAAATACCGAAGCAAAGAATGATTTCCACCAATATCACAAAGCACACTGCCAAAGTACACAGGGGCCCTTAGGAAATACACCAGGCGACACAGGGGAAAGAGCATCATTAGGTCAGTTTCTTACCTTTAACTTCAGTAAAATAACAAAGCAATTCATATTAACCGCAAGGAAATACTCATCAGATTCCAGAAGCCTTTGAGACAGGATTTTCAGATGCAAGCAATATCCAATAGATGTTTCCTCACTGCAAAGAACCAGCTTTTTTTATTTTGCAATTGCACCTATTTAAAGTGATTGTACAGAATCCAGTGAGGTGGCCAGGAGCTGAAGATGGGAAATCCAGGCCAAAAAGAAGCTATTTCATGTGTTCACACTGACCGTCCTTTCCATGTGTGACAGTCACCACCACAAATTGGGAGGTTCCTCAGCCACTCTGCTTTTAAACAGGGTAATTTCATCCAAGTGCCGCATGGGGACATCTCTGATGACCTCTGTCAAGTCTTCATGAAGCAGAGGGAAAATGACAACATTTAATGCAGGGCGGTCCGCCTGGAAACTAAATCAGACATAGGTTATTAGCTGAGGAGAAATACGAATTCTCCGGTGCACGAGAAAGGGATTGCATGGATATAGATCATGTGGCAGTGAGGGCAGGGAAGGGTTGTTCAGAGGAGGCAGGAGGGGCAGCTGGATGTCAAGGTCTCCCACTCTCCTGCATGCCAGCGGGGAGCATAGGCTGGGCTTGCGCCCCTTTTCAGTGAGTCTATCGAGCTGACACAAGCCCAAATTCAGCCTAAGATGGGGAGGGAGGAATAAGGTTTTTTTAAAAAAATAAAATCACAACATACAGGTATTCTTAGAGGACCAGAGATCCTAAGAGCTCTGCCCAAGCTGGGCAAGGTGCTCAGAGATAATTTAAGCCACCTACAACAACGAGCAGCAAGTTGCAGAGCCATTAAGAAAATCAGGCCAGAGCATTGCCAGGCATTCCCTCAGGGCTGAGCCCGGTATTATCACTTCAGGCTGGGTTGTTCTGCCTGCAGAGTCTACACTCTGCAATTAGAGCACAAGAAAGTTTAGAAAGCTCAGATTTGCAGATAAGCATTTAAGTGTGCACACACACACACACACTGCAACCTTCTTTTTAATCCAAGTTATGGAAAACCTGTCTTGGCACCACAGGAATTCACCCTGACAGAAACACACACAAGTATCCCTGCTTGCCACTTGAATTTTGGGTATCAGTTTCTGAATCTACAGCCTCAGTTTTTCGGTCCCCTCTGCTTTCTCCTCCTGCCCTCCCAGCTCTTCCCACCAACATCACACCACTGGATCTGCCTTCCAGCCCACATCCCAGACTTTGCAAACGAGAGGCCTGATAGGACAACATGAGAGGGGAGCAGCTGGGTTGTGACTACAGAGCAGAGGAAGAGAACAGCAAAACTTAAAGCCATTTTATAATGTAAAAAGAGCCATACAAAAAGAGTCCAAGTCCCCATCAGCAAGTACTCTACATGATAGCAACCTGGTGAGTAAGAGAATGTGGGGGAAGAGAAATAGTATTACTCAGTGTAGCATAACAAGAGTTCAGTCTTTTAAAGCTGGGAGGTAAAGGGAAGTTATGCTACAGCTTAAGAGTTACACCCTGAAGATTAAAAGACTTGTGACTATTAGCCCCATGCCACCAAGACGCTTCCTCCGAACCGTGTGACAGTTCATTATCACTCTAAAGGACGCAGAGTCAAACTGGCAGCATCAGTCCCTTCAGGCTGAACCAAGTTGTACTGGGTCAAAAGAGAAGTTCATTGCTCAACAAACCTTACATAGATGTGTGTCCAGAAAATTCCCAGCTCGTCTCTAGTTCTGAAACAGCCAAATTAGTCTAAAACAGAGGGAATGGCTGGAGATTTGGCTGCTGGAAACACACGTGAAAATCCCAGGTAGCTGTAGAAAAGGCCACGAGAATCTGGCATCTCCCAGGGCAACAGAAAGGATGTTCCCATCCATAAGTGATTTGGAGTAGGGCTGCCAAAAATGTAGCAGAGAAACTCCCATTCCAAGGCTAGTTGTTCAGTCCTGGTGGGTTAAATTAATTTGCCTGGACCTGAGTAGCTGCAGGAGTAAGGATTTCCAGTGACAAAACTACCTGGGGCAATTTTATATCTTTCTGCATCGCAGACCTGCTCTTCATGCCTCATGCCTAAGGGCTGGCGGAAAAGGACACCACTCCTTGAGTGGATCTGGGGGCTTGTGTAGGAGCTGAGCAGTTTCTTACTTCCCAGCACTGCCCAAAAGAAATCAATCAGCAAATCATTGCTGATCTGGGAGGCAGTTGGTAAAGTCAACAGTGAAATTACATAAAATACAGCAAATATCTCTTTGATAGTCCCTCCTCTGCCTCAGCTCTTCATGTTTCTTATCCAACACCACAGTCCTGCAGAGAAAATCATGTTAATAGACCAAGTTTACTGAAGTTCAGCTAGAAAGAAACAGCCATCTCCCCAAGGCAAAGAAACCTCTGCTTCTTTCTTTGTATACAGACTCTCTCAAATTAGATCTGCATGCTGCCTTCTCACCATATACAAAATTGTAGTTTATAAGCAGCCTTTACATGTAGCTATAAAAATGAGAACCTAGACAAGTTTACATGACAATCTGCCACCGAGACAACTGAAAAACCCCAACATAGTAAGTGTACCTTCCAAAGAGGCTGGATTTATATGAGAGGTTTGAACTTGATCTTAAAAAAAAAAAAGAAAAAAAGAAAGCTTTGTAATTTTCTTTCCCCCTCAACAGGAAACTGTACGTTACTGCAAACCTTGTAAATTCCATACCCAGCAAGTTGACGCCGGAGAATTCTTTCCATGTACAATTTGCGTGATTTAAGAAAAAAAAAATCAAATGCACATGGCTCACTATTATTCTCAGCTAAATGTGCGTGCAAAGCCTCTCCTTTAACTGCCTGTTAAAAAACACCCTGATTTTAACGAGCAGCTGTCATAATGTTAAACTGGGATTAGCAGTTCCCAAAAGCAGACTCCCTCTGCAATCTATGCTCCTTTAGTCCTTCCCTGGAAGGCAATTCCTTTCTTCATACACCTGTCCAGGTGGGCTAGATTAAGTGAGAAGCACTTAGAGCACTAGTTCGAAAGGCCCCAGGCATGGGGAGGAGATAACAAGAAGGGGAAGAGATTGAGTTAATGAGTTGCAGAATAGCTCCTGTAATCTTCTTGACGGTTCTTTCCTCATTCCACACCTGGATGGACTTCAAACTGGATCTACCTCTGCAAGTGCATGGCTTGTAAAATTAAAACCCGAAGGACAGAGGAGGATGTCGACCTGGGGAGACAAAAGAGCTGCATTTTCAGACATGAAACCCTGCTTTTTTTCCAAGGGAAAGAAGCCAAGGATATGCTTCCTTGCTCTCTCCTACAAAACCTCCAGACTAAACTCATCATGATTAATTAAATGAAAGCAAGTTTTCTAGGCAACTGACTAGCAGCCCCTTCAAAACAGATCCTTTAATCAGAAACAACTACTGGGATAACAAAGAAAATACCCCCAACACACATTTTTTCCAGCATAGCCTCTGGTCCAGCAGACTCAACACCAAATCAACAACCACCCAGCGGGAACTTTTACAAGGAGGTCTCTGAAGTGTCCTCATTTGGATGTGGACACATACCAGGCCTGGCTTCAGCAGCTGGCTGGAATCATCCATGGAGCTGGGAAATGGAGAGTGAAGCACACGCTGTGTCACAAATTCCTCCTGGCGTCAGCAGAGGTATAACCTTGCTCTAAAGTTAGATCTTGAACAGGCTGCGGGTGGCTGAAAGGGTTAATGGTGATCTGCTATTTGCCTCCAAAATTATCCCAGAACAGGTGTGGACTGGACACAGTAAGGTTATTTTCAAGTGAACAGCTTGGTAAATAGCCTAACACTACAGTCTCAATTACTTCCAAACAGTGTGGCAGGATCCAATATGTAGGTCAGGGACAAAGTCAAAAAGAAAGAGGAAAAAGTCTAAAAGCAAGGCCGCACTTTGATCAGATTTCCTCGATTTTACCAAGACAAAAGACTCACTCCCTGGAATGCAGTTATCTCCTGGTAAACACTCTCAGTGTGTTTTCAGACATACCTCTCTAGAGAGGCCAGCGAGTCCCCAGGACTCCACCTGCTGATAGAGCTAAAGGGCAGCCCAAAGCTGCAGGAGAATCTCACCAGCCAGTCTCTAACGATGGATGATGCCCCACTGTAACTCTCTGCACCACAGACCCCAGAAGATGATGCCTCTGCTGCTTTAGGTGCTGCTCAAACTTACCTTCTCTTACTTGTAAGGAAAGGATAAGGCAGTATTTGAGACTGAAGAATGTATTTCCCCTTGAGATTTCCAGGGAAACCTAAAAGAAAAAAAAAGCCCTACACCAAATTCAGATGTTTCAGCACATCCCACTTCACAAAAGCTGGCAAGCAGGAATAAGGGTACACAAGGTGGTATAATTAAGCACTGGCAACAAAAGCAGCATACACCAGATAAAATGAGGAAATATGGTGTATCAGGAGTGGATCAAGGCCAGGTTTTTTAAGTCTACAAACTGAGATGAGTTTATGTGAAAAGAGGCTCTACAGAAGGAAATTAAGGAAGAAAACCAGGAGAAGCTTGATTTGGGGGAACAGAGCACAGTGGGGACAGAGCAGACACGGACTCAGGTTAGTAGGACTCCCACAAATGTAAACCAATCTCTGCTGCAGTCACGCACCTTCTCCCCCCTCCATTTAGACTTCCCCCATGGACTGCTGAGCTGTTTCTGGAGAGGAGCAAGTCTTCCAAGAGAAGAGAATTCAGACCGACTCACTTTTTGCCATGTACGCAGTTCTTTGACCCACATGCACAAAAACCCTGTTAATCCTCTGCCAGGCACAGCATAAGTTTGTTTTCGCTGGAAGATTTGCTCACATCTGAAAGTTCAAATGTGACATCTGTCTTGAAAGCTTCAGCCAATGTACCTGAGCCAGGCTGGAAACTCCCATCCCTGAAGCATGGCACGGTAGAATGAAGGAAGTGCCAGGACAAGCTGGAGCAGCTGACAAGTGGCATGACCCAACATACATACACACACTGTTCTCATCTTTTCAGGAAGATCAGACATACACTTAAAATTTGTTCCACTGGCCGTGCCCTGAACTCAGTACCAGGGAACTGCAAAAGCTCTCCTTCTTTACAGTGACCGCCAGGAACATAAAAATGAAGCTTCTCCAGAGCTTCTTCCAGCCATGCCGAAGAAACTGTGAGTGGGATTCCGCCAGGCCCCTTCCTCCATGAGCAGGGAGGACTCTTGCCCCCCACTCATGCCCCAGGAGCCTCTCAAGGGGGGGGTCCAAAGCCGCCACACACTGATACTAAAGCAAATCCATTGCCTAGTGCCATTCTCACTCCCAACCCTGCCAGAGTACAAGCCAAGCAGACTTCATCTTCTCATCTCAGAAACAGCCTTCAAAAGTTCCCTAGGAAAGCTGTTGTGATTCCTCAGGTTGCTCTTAACTCCACACAATGA